TAAAACATGATTTTAATTACATCTTTTGTTGCCACTGAACGTTGCATCACTAAACTGATTTTTTTAATGATAAACCAAATAAATAAACTAAAACAATAAAACTATATATATATATATATATATATATATATATATATATATATATATATATATATATATATATATATATATATATATATATATATATATATATATATATATATATATATATATATATATATATATATATATATGTATATATATATATATATATATATATATATATATATATATATATATATATATATATATATATATATATATATATATATATATATATAACTTTAGTAAAGTACAAGTAAATATTACTGGTCGAAAAATTTACTAAAAAAATTTGTTGCATATTAGTATTTAATTTCACAAAAAGATTTAACTTTGATGGTTGATAATGATGATTTTATATTGTTAGTTGATAAAAAAAAAATTTATTCAAAATGCTTTAAATAATTTTTTTTTTCTCCTTAAATACAAGGACCATCTAAAAGAAACATCTTCAAAATAAAACCAACAATTGAGTTATTAAAATATATTAATAATTGAAAATAACAATTTATTTTTCTTGTTTTTTTTTAATAGTATTTTGTATAGGGCTGCCAATTTCAACTTTTTTTAAAAAGTTTAAACAAGAACACTTTCGAACAATTTAGGAAAAAAGTTCAAACTTTTTAAAACTTTTTAAAATAGTTTTTATTTATTTGAAATTGAAAACAAAAGGGTACAAGTGAAACACAAAACTGTTAATTTATTTATAAAGACCTTTTATTTGTTTATAAAAAGTAAATGCAAGGTATCATCCTGAAGATGATACCTTGCCAGAAAGCCAGAGAGCCCTTTCACGAGATCATACCATATAAAAATCATATACTTTAATAAAACATTTTCGGTTCTTTAGCTAGAGTCAATTTTTTATTATAATTTCTAATATCGTTACCCTTTTTTGTATTTTTTATTAATATTGAGTCTACCTTTCTAAGCTGGAACCATCTTTTAATAAGATTAATTTACAAAATTATCTATATTATTATTTTTTTAAATTTTGTTGTCAAACTGATTACCATGATTTAAAACAACTGGGTATAACAATTATATCATTTTTATGAAGTAAATTATTATTTTATTAACTTAATTTTTATTGATGTTATTACATTTGAGAACCTCTATTTTGTGTTTATTTTTAAGTGTCTTGTATTAGAGTGTGTTGAGGCACATTTTTCTCCTGCAGCTTTTGGCAACAAATGAAAATAGTCCTGTGTTTCAGATCTTTTAGATGTGCTAATGCTGAGCAGCCATTTTTTGTTTGAACTTAAAACTCTATAACTTTTATTTCAAACGTAAATAAACAGTGGTCAAATGGTGAAAAAGTACCTGTCACTATTTAACTACTTTTTAATAGGAAGATGCCAATCCTACATTAAATGCGATGGTGCTACAGATAATGCAATTTTGATTATATTTTTAGAGTTTCCAGACAAACACAAAACAAAAAAAAAGCAAAAACATTCAAATTTATAATTTATAATTCAAAATTATAATTTTTACTTATATTTCAGCTTGTTTCACAAAAATTAACAAAAAGACTTTTTTTTAAATTTAAAAGTTTGAACTATTAGGGAAAAAAGTTCGAACTTGAATGTTTAAATTTTTGCATTCGAACTACCAGCCCTAATTTTGTATAAAATAGTAACATCTTCGTTTCAAATTTCCTTTTAAATTTCTAAAAGAAAATTAAAATTCAGAATATCGCTTTATTGTAACTTATATCATGTTATTGTAACTTCACTTAAAAGATAATTGAAAATTATAAGAAAACAATTTTATAAAATATAACTTTTATCAACTAACAAAATTAAATCATCTTTATGAACCATCAAAATTAAATGCCCAACACCACAAGTGGTTCTAAGAATGCCAAAAGTGGTTTTTAAAAAAACTGAATGAAGACCAACTGTTCTACATCAATGCATGTTAGTGCCAAAAAATTTCCGAATAATTATTTTGGACTTCAAAAAGTTTTTAAAAAGATTGGTACTCCAGTTAAGCCTTTACTAAGAATATGGACAAGAATGGACTTCAGTTAGACTTTAAACCACCAAAAACTATTATAGCGCAGGTTTCCAAACATCTTCAGTCTTGTACTTCAGGAAAACGAGAAACCATTACAGTAATTGCGGCTATGAATGCTGCAGGTGAAACTATACCTCCACGCCTAATACTAAAAGGTAAAACAATAAAATGACTCAAGATTTTAATACTAGAGATGCACCAAGTGGTTAAAAATGGAGACTGGGTGGACTAAGCAAGGAATTGAAAAATATCTTGGTTTATAAATACATTTTTGCCAAAAATTGGGAGCAACAGGCCACAGGCACTAATAGTTGATGGTCATGATTCTCACAAATCAGTTGAACTAATATCAGTTGTTAATGATAACAACATTGAAATTATTGAGATGCCACCACATTGATCTCACTGGTTACAGCTTTTACACTGTAAGTATTTGGCTAAATGAAATCTTACCACAATACTTATTGTCATAATTTAATAAATACCTACTCTGTTACAGTTGATAAGTCAAACTTTTGCAGATTCAAAAAAGCTTGGGATCATTCACAACTGCAAACACAGTTTCTGGTTTTTAATCATATTGTATATTTCCCTATAATCCTTCTGCTATTCCTTATGATGCTTATTCACCAAATTCTCTTTATTCTGCCCACCAGTTACTAGGAAATGAAAGTTTGTTAGAAAGTTCCATTCTTGCAAAACAAATACCATAAATTTGCCATTTTAAAAATTACTGAGTGAAACTTTTGAAAAACAAGTAGATTCTAATTCAAGCTCTACTTTTATTGACATAAGACAACTGAAATTACAAGCATCTTCTCTGGACTAGAAAATATTGATGAGAATTTAGATCAACTGGATAACAACACAGAATTAATGTTATGGAATGCTTAATTCCTTAATTAACTACTATTAATTTCTGTTTTCAAAATGATTTTGATATTTATGACAATATGTATTTTGCATACAAAGACTTCTGAATAAAGCATAATTCAATCACTTCCTCTGATCTATTATAAGGGAAAACCGTTGAAAAAATTCCTTTACCAAATAAAACCCACTTTGTCCTTGTATGTATGTATATAAATATATATATGTGTGTATGTATGTATGTATGTATGTATGTATGTATGTATGTATGTATGTATGTATGTATGTATGTATGTATGTATGTATGTATGTATGTATGTATGTATGTATGTATCAGAGTTAACACCCTAAAACCCAAACCCAAAAACCCACCCAAAAATCTAAGAGCGAAAACCCAACTTAATAGGTTTTTGCTCTTAAATTTTTTATTCATAAATTAATTTCCATTTACACTCAAGATATGATGCTGCTCAAAAATTTTTCTAAAAACAAGAAGTTTAGTGAATCATAAATGAGATTTTATTTTATTTGGAGCAGAATATTCAAACAAAGTTTAAAACAAAGTTATCTAACAATTTAGTTATCAGCAATTGTTCATCTTGACCTTAATATATGCAAATTTGTAATTTAAATTTGTAATATTCTTCTGATTAATTGTTGTTGAAGTAACAAATTTAGAAACGGATGTTTGGCGTTGCATCGCCATTGCCACCCACTAGCCTAATTTCTTCCCTCTAATTGATACTTTGACATGTTAATGTCAAATAAAGACGTATAATTCAATTCTATTCTAATTTTAAGTAATAAGACAACTCAATTTAACAATAGATTTATATTAGAAAAAAATGCAATCTGATTATTAATCAAGCTTTTGTATAAGAAAATATAACTTTAAAAAATGAAAAAAAGATTTTAAATAACTATGAATTTATCAAACTTTGTTACTAAAGATTTGTACGCAACTTATGTAAAAACCCAAAAACTCAATAACCCACACAAAAACCCAGTTGGGTTGGGTTTTTGCTCAAAAACCCGGTTTTTTGCCAACCCTGGTATGTATGTATGTATGAATTATTAAGTTTAAATTTTGTTCAATGTATTTGTCCAAGCTATTTTTAAAAGAGTTTATGCTCTGCTGCATAACAACATCATCTTGTAGTGAATTCCAAATCGAAACAACTCTATTGTTAATAAAATGATACTGTTGAGCACAGTTCTTTATGATTTCTCTGCGGTATTGTAAACATTGGTCAATTTGTGGAAAGACCTTCATAGGTTCTTTGTGCCAGACTACTTTATTTTAAAATTCTTTAGTTAGTATTTTTAAAATTAGATCTCCCGTTGGTTCTCTTTTCTAGTGATGAACATTTAATTGTGGAACTGTTCCACAATTAAATGCTCATCACTAGAAAAGCTGTTCCGAGCAGCGAATTATTTAAATGTGGAACAGCGAGTAATTAAGGTAATGAAGAATATGTGGTATCTTTGAAGCACTCTTTTGAATTTTCTCTAAAATTTTCATATCCTTTTTTAAATAAGGCGACCATATTGACACTGCATACTTTAAATGTGGTTGCACATAAACTTTATAAAGTTTACTCCATATAGTAACATTTCTAGATATAAATGTATTTTGTAGAATTCCAAGCATTCGATTAGCTTTATATAATGATTTTGTGACTGGATCATGAAATTTAAGATCAGATGACAATACTATACCTAAATCTTGTTCAGTTGATGTTACTGCAAGCTTAATTCCCTGGTGTTTGCTAAAGTCATTTATGTAGTAATCAAATTTTAGTAAAATAGAACTCCCTAGAATATGCATTACTTTACACTTGCTTTCATTTAGTTGCATTTCCCATATTCTTGTCCATTCTGTAATCCAATTAATATGTAATGCAATATATTTTGTTTATCCTAATCTTAATTATAACTTAAAAATAATAACAATAGTAAAGTAATAGCAATATAAGTAATATAACAATACACAATAAACTGATATGTAATAACTAAACATTTCTTACTTCTCCTAGTTGTTCATAATTTTGTTGATTTTTTTCTCGATTTCCATTGTAAACATCAAACACAAATGGCTCATTAGTTATAATGTTTTTTAACTGGCCTGCTAAAGTAAGATAAAGTAAAATAAAACTAATGTTTTTAAAATAAACAGTTAAACTTTTAAAAATAAATAGTTTTTAAGATCAGGAAAGGCTAGGTTCATCAAAAATTTGGCAATTTAAAAAAAATACATATCAAAACCTAATCTAAAAGTAAAATTATAAAAATATGTTTTTTTAAATGAAATTGTATTTTTTTTTTTTTAAATTATAAAAATAGTTTTAGAGATTTAGAAACGTTGATTTTTCAAATTTAGTTTTTTGTAAAATATATTATTTTTATGTACAATGTATTATGTACAATATATATACAAAATTCTTTTAAGTTATTTATTAAAAAACAAATTTATAAAAAAAAAACATTAACATTTTATCTGAACTCATAAAACTAGAATACAATAAAAAAGTAAAGAAACTGTTTGCTTGTGGAGAAGCCCTAAATGTCATTAAAGTTATTTTTGAAATATATCATGATGGGCTTCAAAAGAAGCAAAATTATATAAGATTTAAAAAAAAATTTTGTATATATATTGTATTATGTACAATATATATACAAAATATATATTGTTTTTTTCTGGCATAATTATTTTGAATAAAATTGAAATAATAGACAAAAAAATATTTTGTCTATTATTTCAATTTTATTCAAAATATTTTTTTTATTAAAATACTAATTACAAACATTTTAAATCGAAAAAAAAAAACCTTCATTGAATAAGTAACCAAAATCCTTCAAAGATTTCTTCCCAGAGTTCATTGAAATTATTCCTTAAAAAAAAAAGAAATCATTGATATGTTTCTAAATAACAATAGAGGTATTCCATGATACAGTGGGAAACTTGTTATGCACTATTTTGGATTTTTTTCATTCTTTGTGAAAATGGTCACCATAGCAAAACAATCAGAATTTCAAATATATTCAATTCAAAGATACAATATAAATAAGTTTTTCAGTTTAAAATACTAATTATAGATAAGTCTATGTTTTGTGTTTATTTATAGTGACATATGTATATATATATATATATATATATATATATATATATATATATATATATATATATATATATATATATATATATATATATATCACATAAAATTTAATTGAAATTGAAAAGAAATTGGGCACAGTTGATATTTTATTAAATAATTGTTGTTATAAAATTATATATTGTTAAAAAAATGGTTTAAGAGATACTTTAAAGGTAAAGAGAACTATTATTATAAAGATACGGGTTACCAATATTGAATGTTTTAAATTTGTTTTCATCATAAGCAACTCTTACTAAACAGATTTGCTAGTTACCAATAGAATTGCATCAACCCAATAAAAAAGCATCAAACTAACATAAAAGGTCAAATTATTAGTTTTAAGCTGTGCAACTTTTTTTATAAAGAAAAATGGGTAAAAATGTACTGGGTATACCTTAGAACACTTTTAAGCATTTTTAATTTCTATAACTATACGTGGTATGTGAGAAATCAATATTCAAATGGAAAAACCATATATTTAATTGGTTTAGTGATAACACCTGACTTTAAAATGTGTTCCTAAAATAAAGGAATTTAAAAATAAAAAAGGATTTTAACACAGGATTTAATCTGCTGAATTCAGCTTAGAGCATCCTTGTCCAAAATATATTTCTTCAAATTTTCTTAGTTAAAACCTAAATGATGTACCCATGCTGGACAAGAAGGAACTAATGCTAAATGCATTTATACAAAATACAAGTTAAGTTTTTTTATGAGCGAATTTACCAATTAAAATTTTTTAAAGGATAAAATACTTGTTTAATCCACAAATCAATAAACTGCCTAATTATTTATGGTAAAAACCTTACCGGGTACAAGTGGTTTTCATCAATTTACTCCATAGAATGCAATCTCAGAACAGGAGGATTTCAAAAAATATGGCCTGGTAAAACTCATACTCATTTAGCCATCACTTTTTCGAAGTTTAAAATTAATTGAAGTTGTTTTCTTGAGAGACTCAAGAGAGAACTTAACAGCTGTAGATACTAGATTTAAACAGCATCAAATACACAATGTAATCAAGACAGTTAAGGTAAAGACCAAAGCCTAAGACCATAACTTCAAGACTAACTTTAAGTCCAAGATATCAAAAAGTCATTCCAAGACTACTAAGACTTTTTCACAAGACCAAGGTCAGAACTTAGATTCTTAGAAGTTTAACACAATAAGACTCATGCTCCAACATGCATGTACACAGGCCTTTAGCAGATACATCATTTTACTATTTCTACAAACTAGTCTATAATAAAACATAATTATACATGTATGACATAACTATGTTATTGCAAATTGTGCAGTGCACTGATGCAGTCAATATAATTTAAATAATAACAGAAAACTAACAGATTTCTTGTATTCTTAAAAACAAAACGTACCAATAAAAAGTTACATTATCAAAACCATTACATTAAGAAACAAAGAGTAGTGCATTTACATCAGACACGCAGGTTGTTACTTCTTGTAATTATATTGGCCACATATTATAGTTACAAAAAAAAAAAAAAAAAAAAAAATTAAAGCAAAGTGTACATATTTTAATTACTTTGTAAAAAGTACTTATATAAAATATGTAAACTTTTTATTCAAGTACCATGTAAAAAGTAAAACAGACAATTATGTATCACTTGATTTAACAACTTATATAACACATTATTCTTAGTAGAGACAACTCATATATAGTTACAAATAAATTCATTGAGTTGATATTTTTGTAGAGATTTTTAAAAAAAAGTCAGTAAAGCTCCTAGACCACGACTCCAAGCTTCAAGACCAAGACAGTTAAATAACTGCTTAACATTACTGGTACACAATGCCAATTAATAATATTTGAATTAGATGGCTTTTTTTTCTTATATTCATGCAGTTTTTTTTAAACTTCAATTAAGTTTGAAATATGGGTTCAATATCTGCAAAGCATTTTGTTGATGTTTCATTTAGATAGAGAACTGTGTGTTTTAATGCATTTGATCGGGTTTTTATTGCCCGACTTTTGATTAAGCAGTTCATATACACATGTGGTTGTGCAATAACTTGACTAGATGTAATGACTCCAAGAGTAGATGTTATAAATCAATAGTTATGAAGTAACCGATTTGAAAGCAGTATTTAAATTTATTTATTTATAAAGTTTATTTATGTAATCTTAGTGACCTTTTTTACAAAGCTTAAAAAAATATGAGATTGTGATTTACATGCATGGAAATATTTTCACGCATTCTCATAAAATACGTCAAAATAATTATTGTTAATGGATAGCATTTATTACCCCATTTTATTACTAAAACTATATTTGAGTTCTTACATAGACTGAATGATTAAAGCATATAGACATTAAATTTAAATTAATACATACACTCACGAACACATATATTTAATTATAAATATTGATATATATATATATATATATATATATATATATATATATGTGTGTGTGTGTGTATATATATATGCATACTCTAATATATATATATATATATATATATATATATATATATATATATATATATATATATATATATATATATATATATATATATATATATATATATATGCATATTTATAATACATATATATATATATATATATATATATATTAGATATATGAACATATATATATATATATATATATATATATATATATATATATATATATATATATATATATATATATATATATATATATATTTATGCATACTCTGGAGTCCTAAGTACAAAAAATTTCAGTGTAAACAGGCTTTAAAAATCGTAAATCTAATAAATCAGGATTTGTCAAAAAGGAGCTTTTGGTTTATTTCTCAACAAAGTATAAAACTTATATAAGGACATTAAATCCTATTGAAATTATGATAAAACAGCTATTAGAAAATGCACATTTGACTGCAAGCCAAGCTAGAATTAAATATTAGATTTGATTTATATATGTTAAATTTTTTATAAAAAACATTTACATTGTAACAGTGTCAGATGGGAAGTTTTCACTAACTGACCAAGATAAGTACAATATAGAAAAAAATTTTTTTTTTACCCTCCTTTTTATTAACTACAATGTTGCAAAAGATGTGGAAAAAACTTATTAATAAGTGACATAAAACTGACTTCAACAAATCCGATAAGTCATTGAGTAGAATGCCAAGAATATACTAGAGGGGATTAAACAGTCAAGCAAATTAAAAAGTAATCTAATAGGACTTTTTTTAAGTAAATTTCAAAAGAAAATAATATACAATTCAGGTATACTTTGTTTTCAGTTTTTCTTCAAATAGTAAATAAATCTTTGATATCTTATACTAAACAAAGTATGACCATTCGAACAATTATGAATGGTAGTGTATATTTATACATATGTATATGTAGGTCAGTTTTTGAACGCTAAGAGATTAATGTATGAAATGTAAAATTTATTGATGAATATAAATTTATTAAAAAATAGTACATAAATTATTTAATTATAAACTTGTTGTTTTCATGCGTGGGGTAGTTGTGGCCAAAATTTTAGGGTTTTTTTATTTCCATGTCTCCAATTATTGCACTTTTTTGCAAAGCATCTTTATTTGACATAAGTATAAACATACAAATGTTTGGAGCTTGTTCCACATCTGTAAGTTATCTCAAATATCAAAAAATGCTTAAATATAGTAGATATTTTTAACAGGTATTTAGCATAAATCATGCTTTTATAAGTGATAAAATTGCAATGTTAGGCGTGGTTGTGGTTATTTAAAAATGATATTATTTTATTATGATTCATTTATGATAATTTTTATGATTACAGAGATATTATTTAATATGACCTTTAAATAAAATTTAAGCCCTATAATGGAGCATTTAAAAAAAATTAAAGATCACTTAAAAACAATATATTTTGGGTGTCATGACCATTAGTTAACAGAGTAAAATAATCTTTAGGATCAAGAAAGATACCGCAATGCAAATCCCTTTAGCTAGAACCTTACTTATAGTCTTTGTAAAATCAAAAAGTGGACGACTTGTAAAATGCACATGTTTAAACCAATGTTGTAACTTGTTAATACAATTAACGGTTTCGAAAAAATTGAATTTTCTCTTATTCGTCATTATCGAAAACATTTTTTTGAAGATTCGAATTGGTATATTATTATATGTTACACTAAAAAATTTTATTTTTGACAAACTAGAAACCGACCTTTGAAAAAAACAAAAACAATAAATAAAAAATTCACTTTCTTTATGTTGAGGGAGTGCATAAACTTCGTTCTTATTTTTAGAAGCTAGAATTTTATAATAAATTATTATAGTTTATGACATAAAAACGGCAACTTAATGACTTTATTTTATTTTATTTTTGTAATAACGCGAGGGATCGTCTATAAATTACGTCACGCTCTAGGGGAGGGGGGAGGGGAGGAGGATGAATAGGTGATTTTGTGACGATTGTTACGTGGGGGAGGGGGTCTCGATTTTGTGACGTAACATTTTTTTTTTTTAGTTTCTAATCTAGAGAAGACTTTTTTTTAATTAATAGAGTATCTGACCAAACCAAAACCCTCAGTTTATGTATCTACATGCTGTTTGTAAAATCAACTACGCCTAAATCTTACATAGTCGATGAGTACATTTCGTTAACGGTGTAGTTACAGCCTGTTAACGGGCTGTTACGGCTCTAACAGTCTTTGAACAGTGCACGCTCTATGGTTTGACTTTAAATGATCCATGTGTAGAAGGTGCGACCGTGACGCAGTGGTTAAAGAAGATCCAGGTTCAAAACCTTGTTCGAGCCTTGGACATATTTTCGCGTCACGGTAAAGAAGGAGGCGTGAACTTCCTGATTAAATGTGCTTCCGGAATGTTCTGTGACAAAACCGTTAGGTCTTCTTAGGGCACCTAAATAATGAGGTGTTTATCACTGCAGATTTAAATGAGGTGTTTGTCAATGCAGGTTTAAGTTTAGCATCAAAATTAATTAACAAGGATAAATGCTTGACTCCTAACAAATCAATAATGGAAAATGCTGAGTTAACTGAAAAAGAATTATTAGATGCTGTGCATTCATTAAAAATTAAACAAAGCACAAGGACTTGATAATGTTACTAGTAATGTTGTAATTAAATGTATTTTTATATTAAAAAAGTTCTTTTGCATATATTAAGTTTTTCTTTTAAACAAGGAATCTTTCCAAAAAAACTTAAAATTGCAAGGGTAATATCAGTTTTTAAATCTGAAGATGATACTAATATTTCGAACTTTAGACCTATTTTCATATTTCTTTGCTTCTCGAAAATACTAGAACGCATTATGTGAAACAAATTATACTCATTTTTAGAAAAAAATAATATTCTTTATAACAAACAATTTGGCTTCAAAACAGGGCACTCTACTGATTATGCCATTCTTCATCTCATTCAGATTATTTTTCAAGATTTTGACTAAAACAAGTTCATTTAAGGTATTTTCATAGATCTTAGTAAGGCATTCGACACTGATGATCATAGTATTTTAATTTAAAAAATTAGAAAACTATTGAATCAAAAATATAAACATAGCTTGGTTCAAAACCTAATAATCTAATAGAAAACAATATATTTCGTTTGGCAATGAAAAAATTAACAACATGACAATTACTTGAGGCATTCCTCAACAATTACTTGAGGCATTCCTCAACAATATTAAAATTGTACCAATTAAATATGTATCATCTGCTAATTTTTATGTATAAAACTAATAATAATACAAAACCAAATCTTCAAACCATTATTTAATAAAATTCAACAGAAATACATGACTAAATATTCAAATAACAACTTTGTTCAACCCAAAACTATGTTTGAGTCCACCAAGTTCTCAATAAATATTAGAGGACCTAATGTATTGAATAAGTTAATTAGTAATGATATTAAAACACTTACAACTCTTGAAAAGTTAAACTCTTGCTTTTAAATAACAACTATTGCTTAAACTATTGTTTTTAAATAACAATCAAACATAGAATTATTTTTAAATCTATTACTTAAAATATAATATTTAAAAACTATCTACTAGTGCATACTTTATTTGTCTAGAAAGTTTTAATTATATACATTATACACTAGGGTGTCCCAAAAAAAAAAAAAAAAAGCTCTCTACTGATTCCCATTCTATGTGACTTAAAAAAGTACTAAAAAAAATTTGGCGGTTTTATTTTGATAGGAAATGCTAGATGTAAAATCTGAATTTTACTGTTTTAATGTTTTGCTGGCTTAACATTTAGAAAACACAATTTTTTTGCTTTTTAGAAAATTAAAACAAAACAATTAATTGCGTATAAATCATTTCGAATTGTTTTCTACTATTTAACTTGATAGATTATATTTATAAATATGAAAATACAAAAAAAAAAACAAAAAAAAAAAAAATGAAAATTAATATTTATTACCAAATTTAAGGTTTTATTGTCGTAAAACATTTTTCAAAAAATACAACTTTTTGAACAGTTTCCACACTCCTTTTTTAGTCATACTCTTAGTCAAGTTTTTCTAGACTTTTTAACTACATTTTGAAGAAGATCTTCATCTCTAATAACTGAAATAAAATCTTTAATGAGCCTAATGTTTCTTTCTGCACCATCATTTACAACAGATATGTTTTTGATGAATGCAATAAAATCTAGCAACTGAGGATGGTTAAAAACATCTATAGTATAAGACTATTATTGAGCTATTCTTTTATACTTGCTCTTGATATTTTAAATGTTTGAAGAGAAGGTAGCTTTGCTCGGAAATCAACTCATGTTGCTCTGGTTTCTCCAATTTGTGCATTTGATGGTTTACAACGCTGAGATTCATTTGGCTCTCCAAACTCAATCAGAGCCAACAGCATTCTTAGCTTTGTTTCAGAAGGAACTTCTTTATCCCCAAAGGACAAAACACAGAGTTGCGGAGTTAAGTACCACGTATAACGTCCCATGCTGGAAAGCAAAGCATTTCCAATATTTTTATTGACTTTTCTCAAAGCATAGGCTGTCTGGATAGCTTTCAAATGATTGTAGGGAGCCAAAAATCCTAAAAAACTTTTCAAAAACAATGGAACATATCAAATTGCAATGAACAAACTTGCATCTTTCAACTGCGGCACTTCTTTTTCTGTCAAGATATCACTGATATCTTTGGTCATATAAAGAGTCAGGATATAGATCACATCTGCTAAAAACCTTGCCTCATCGCAAGCTTACAAACTATATCATAATCATTCCTTGAAAACACCATATCAGTAGTTGCATTAGTCAAAAATTTCTTAGCTTTCTTTGCAACAGCGCATTTCTTAGCTTCCTTTGCAACAGAGCCAATCTTCAGATCATCTCTTTGCCAGTCCAATTTACATAAATTTTTTGCTTTATTAACTTTTTCACAGATTTCAGGCCACTTGTTTTTTAGCTTGACCTTTACTTTTATCACCAGTAAGAGCAGCCATATAGTGAGATACATGTACTTCATATATGTGTCTCCTACAAATTATCCACAAAATTGGTATTTTCAAAATAACTGTAAGAATTCGGACTGCTCCATCGACTCCGCCTGTATTGCTTGCAGTTGTATCACCGCATATACCAATGATCTGCTCTTTACATCCGTAATATTCTAAAAGATTGTGCACTTATTCTGCTTGATCAACTCCCTTTAAAGAGGGACATTGAACAGCACCTAAAAGATGGTCTTTCATGGTATTGTCATCCGGGGAACTCACTGAGACTGCAGAATGCTCAATTTTTTGAAAAATGTTAAGCCCAGTGGTAATTTGTTCCAACAGTTTGGTATCAAAATGAAGAATAAGCCGTCGTCCTTTAAGATGATTAGTTACTGAAATCCACTCCAAGTCTCCTTCAAGTTCTACATATTTGAACTTTTTTCTATGAAGTGTGCTTCGTGAAAGCGGTATATAATTAATCTCTATACCTCCAGCTTTAAATATTTCACTCAAAATTACTAGATGAGGTCGTACACCAATATTGAACCTTGTTGCTGGAATAGCAGTACATTCAATGAGCTTTTCAACATTCACTGCTAGATTTATCCTCTCTCCAGAATTGTACCTAGATTTCATTTTATAATACTTTTCTACCTATTTATAATTATATACTTTTCAATGAAACAGTTTTAGCTTGTGAAAATTACAACTATGTTTTTAAAATAATATTATACCTGCGTTTTCGACCGTTACCCAGGAAATCTTCTTCCTCACTGATTTCAGAGTTCTCGTTTGGCTTTTCTTCTTCACTGCTGAATTGAATCTCTTCTGTCATGGACTCATGTGACAACAAAATATCATTTTACGTTTTTCTGTCTCTCTAATTCTTTCTCTCTCAACTTATCTAGCTTGTTCTTTCTCCTGTTTGCATCCAGTACTCTCCTACTGTAGTCTTCGTCAACGTTTGTTCCCATATATTCTTTCCTATCCAACTTTTGGTCTTCATAAAAACTTAGAAATAGTTAATTCTATTAAGACATTTATAAATAAATTGATAATTGTTCTAGTTTTTTCTGGAAGATGGCCAAACCATGGAAGGAGTAAATAATATGCTATTACTTAAGTTACTTTAAATCGGAAAAAAAAATCTCACAACTAAAAAAGTGTTATTTAATGAACTTACTTTATATCTTCCAGCTAGGCATCATCTGTTCTCAATCTATCAACAAGAATATCTTTTTTAAAATTCTTAGTGGAGATGTCAAAAAGCTAAAAGGATTCTGAGAGAAAATCTTTCTCACAGAATCCTATTAGCTTTTTGACAGAAATGCTTACCAAGCTGCTGTTCCAGTTTAAAGAAGACAATTTAATCAATTTCTTGTATTTTAGATTAACTTTAATGATTTTGGTCTTTATATTGTATCTAGAAATCACAAATTTCTTGCCAAACCCAGCATTATCCCAAATTTTTTTAATCCAAGTTACCAAGCAAGAGTTATCAGGATCTATAAAACACCATTTTCAAAAACAAGATCCTAGGATTTCGATTTCAATTTGCAATCAACATTAGTAGAAGTGGGTTTGTATTTTACTTGTAACTCGCGAAGGATAAATTAATAGTATCTTAGAATATCACCATTAGATCGAAGCTGTCTCTGAGGTAAATCCCTCAGTGGGTACTTCAATAGGTCAAATAATTCCCTTTAGAAATTTTTTCCTTCAAAAAAGTTTCTAAATGGAGTTTTTTGTGAACCAATCCATGAGGAATTATACCAACTAATAATATTGTCCAGAGTGAATTAATCAATCGCTTGTTAGCGGTTTGTTGTTCATAGGAAATGATCCTATTTTTTAATAATGTCCTATGGGAATTATTTGTGTACC